TTCGCATCTCTTCTAACCTTGCGGGGGATTGGGGAGGAATGTGGGTTCGGAGAAGATGGATGATTTGTTGCTGTTTCTTAAAACTGCAAATCAATGTACATTTTGACGTATCGAGAGAGAGAGAGAGAGAGAGACAGGGGGCAAGGGTATGTAGAAAGTATGTTTTCGGTGTTGTCTCTAGGTCTGTCTGCCATTATTTTGATGGTGATATAGGATGGTTCCTCTATAAGGCCCCGACGTTCACCTTCTGATTTTAGAGTCAAGTGGAGCGCCCAATGAGTCGAGTGTTTGTCATACACTGTCTTGTGATGGCGGACAAATCCTGTAAGCACTGCTGGGTGGGGAGCGTCGTACGTATCTTGACATTTACTTCTAAGGATACCAGAGGAAGGAAAAGTGAAAAGTAAAAAAGTAATTAATTTACTTCGAATATTATTTTACACCACGGGCTGATCTTATTCCTCAACTTTATCACAGATCTGTTGTTGTGTAGACGTATATGTTGTGTAGACTTACACTATATTTGAAAAGCGTTCACAGCTATGTCTAACGCCGCCTTACTGTACACTAACGTGTTTTTTAAAGTTTCAGTGGGCGGTTGGCGGGTGCCCTGGAGTGGTTTGCTCCTTCTTTTCGAGAAAAAATCTGTCGCCCTGATCTCTTCTCCTTTTTTATGCTTGTTTCTCTTTTGTAAAACATCTAATCGTCGGCACTTATATAACCTTACTGTGTTGTAAGTGCCGTAAAACTCTTACTAAAGCTAAAAAAAACTTAAAGTTTCTACACTCTTGAGAGTTCGTAAATTCTATAAGTTTCGCTGCCCGCTCGACACAATTCAGGATGACATAACAGAAGGACGCATGTACCCAACAAGTGAGAGTCAACCCAGGATGAGTAGGAGACAGCAACTCCGCAGAGAAGTGGAGGGGGGTCGATGAAATCTCTCTCTCTCTCTCTCTCTCTCTCTCTCTTTCTCTCTCTCTCTCTCTCTCTCTCTCTCTCTCTCTCTCTCTCTCTCTCTCTCTCTCTCTCTCACACACACACACGCAATGAACCCCCCCCCCCCAAAAAAAAAACCCCAACAGAGTGAAGGCACGTTTACGCCCCCCCCCCCCCCCAACCGACACTATCCTAGTTGGGAAGCATGGGAGAAAAAGCTAATAGCAGGAGGCATTTTTTCAAAAAAAGGTACATCCATTCAAAACAAAAACAGAAAAAAAAATCTAGATCCCGTGGATCTCAGGTACGTCAAATTATTGGATTCTGAGGAAATCTAGAGGAACTATGAACAGACAACTTTGACCGAGACACGTGACCTCATTCATTACAGACTCTTTAGAAAAACAGTATTCAGTGGAGAATCTTGTATGATTGTAATGCTATGGTTATGGAAGGGAAAGTGGAGAGAGAAGGGAAAAAGGGGGAGGGAGACCTACCAAATCTACAAAAGATTTTAACAGGACGATAACTGGATTGAAATATGCACACATCTCTCTAACAGCAGGGGGGAAAGAGAAAGAGACAAATCTTCGAGGACCATTAGGGACACAGCGTACCACAGAGAGTGTAATAACGAGGACGATGACTGTCACAAACTGTGTGTCAGAGCTGACCTGTCTTCGCAGAATTTGGTGGTGAGAAACACGGAGAAACTCTACAAAAATAATTTCTCACATAATATATGTGAGGCAGCGTGGTGGAATCAGGCTCTCGTCAATTTTTGGACATGTAGAGTTATTGGTATCATCTTAAAGCTTGTTCACTTGTCATTATTTTGATGAAAAAAATATCCATTTATTATCTTGAATACAGGTCGAAATATTTGCAAATGGAGGAGGTGAGGGTCACCTGTTTTCAGAGGTAAAATTAGTGCCAAAATGGCCACCAAAGATTAGTCATTTCCTTAGCTTAAGAGTCCGTGGCAACTGAAAATGTACATTTATTGTAACTTTAATCAAAGTTTTCAGAAAAATCCACACAGAAATGAGTTCTTTAATGGGCATGAAGGTGTTGAACCAAAAAACAAAAAATTAATAAAAATTCACAAACCTGCAGAAAAATGCAAGTTTCTTCACTTTGATTATTTTTACAAGAGCCTGATTCCACCACAGTGCCTCACATATTATGTATCTCACATCTTTCACGTATTTACAACAAGGCACTTGACATGACCATTACGCAGACGAAGCTGGTATTTAATTCTTTTCAGCAAAACACCAAAACACAAGAAGTCAGAACAACGACTTGACTGATTCCAAAAGCACTGAAGCTTGCCAACCCGCAATACAAACACAGTCCAAAGACAGAACATATACTATAACAGGGAGAAAGGACATGTGACACTTGGCTGAGCGTCCTAAAAAATCCCTCACATCTAGACTGCATGATCAATGCTCACTTTGAGATAGTCGATGAAAAGATTACTTTTACAGAGGGAACAAATGTGAGGCAGTGTGGTGGAATCAGGCTCTCGTCAATTTTTGAGCATGTAGAGTTTTTGGTATCATCTTAAAGCTTGTTCACTTGCTTGAGTACAAGTTGAGATATTTGCGAATGAAGGAGATGGTGTCGCCTGTTTTCAGACGTAGAATTAGTTAGAAAATGGCTGCCAAAGATTAGTTATTTCCTTAACGTAAGAGTCCGTGGCAAGTGAAAGTTTACATTTATTGTGCCTTTAATCAGCGTTTTTCAGAAAAATCCACACAGAAATTAGTTATTTAATGGGCATGAAAGGTTTTGAGCAAAAAAAACACAAAAATTTTATAAATATTCACAAACCTGCGGTAAAATGCAAGTTTCTTCACTTTGATTATTTTGACGAGAGCCTGATTCCATCACGCTGCCTCTCAAATGATCCGACAAAAAAGGATATTGTTTAATTCAACATAAAGTTAGAAAGATAAATATTTAGGAGGATAGTTTTCTCCTTGATGTCACAATTTGGGCTTCAAATGACGAAACATGAAATGGAAAAGGCAAGAGCTTCTTATGAAAAATACAAGACAAATACCACCAATTTCAGTCACTCGTATTTCAGTCAGACTATTTCAGTCAGACTATTTCAGTCAGACTATTTCAGTCAGACTATTTCAGTCAGACTATTTCAGTCAGACTATTTCAGTCAGACTACAGATGTGACTATCAAAACTTGAGAAATAAAAGGACAAGAAAGAGAAACAGCATGCACAAATTCTTAGGTGGCGTCACAAGTGATATTTGAGGACGCTTTTTTCACTTGCTAAAAGATGTGAGGCAGGAGAGCCAGAGGAAGACAAAGAATAACATGGATAGATAAAATACAAACGTGGACTGGCATGAGTATAACAGAATGTTGTCCCAGATATGGTATGTGATTTTCTGCACATTATCTTTAGCCAACCTTTTTATCAAGAACGGGCTATAGTATCCGTTTATTTTATTTATTATTCTGACGAGCGCCTGATTTCACTGTGCTGCCATACATTTTTACTTAGATCTAATTCTGGAGGTCAGATCTTTGCGTGAAACATACTTCTCCGACCTCCGACCTGATATCTTTAAGATAAAATAGAAAACTGCGAATTGAGTTAAATAAACAAACCAGGTATAGATCTAGTGCAATCAGTGGGGGTGTGTCCTTGAGCAAAACACGATGACCCTAACTCAATCCCCCCCCCCCCCCCGGGAGGTGTCTGTTGGCATTCTGGGTGTGTGTGTGTGTTTGTTTGTGTCTGTGACCTTGTGTATTATTAATTGTATTGAAAAGTAAAGTTGTTCTCGCATCCGATCCGGACAATGAGGATTGCCTTGTTAGTGAGGCAACTTCCTGGGCCTTCGGCATATTGTGGTAGGGTGGCCAGTTCCTTTCCACGCCGCCTTTACTTCCCTAACTCGAAGTCAGGTACCCATCACTGCTGGGTGGGCAGTTCCTTTCCACGCCGCCTTTACTTCCCTAACTCAAAGTCAGGTACCTATCGCTGCTGGGTGGGCACGGGGGAGGGGGCGAAAAAAAATCCGTGTCCTAAACGAGGCTCGAACCCGGACTTTTCTGTTCGGAGACCAGCGCACTAACCATCCCACCACCGCTCCCTGATTAATTGTCTTATTCACGCATACACTTGGGAAGAGGGGGGGGTGGGGGGATGGGGGGGGGGCAATAAAATAGAATGGTTATTAATTTCTATTTTTACTTAAATACATTAAAGAATAATTGTTCCAAAGAGAAGTTACAGGAAGACTGCGTCATTTATTAGCCACGACTGTTGAGGTATAGGCAAAGGCAGTACATAGTTGTCTGAGGGTTGTCCAAGCCCCAAACGTTAGGTTGTCGTTCTAAAGGCAGGCCGGGGAGAGGCGTGTAGAACAGTTGTGCGACTTTGGGGTGGAATCAGCCGCTCTTTCAAATAATCAAATCGATGAAAATTACTTTCTTTTAAAAATTGTTCAGGCAATTTTCATCAATTTTTCTTCTTTTTTTTTAGAAGGGGTGGGGGGGGGGGGAGGTTGGACATTATATTAAATCCTTGTAAAAGACATTCCAGGCTGGATTTTACTATAAAAAGAAACGTGGATCAAAGGCCCAAGAAGATGTCAAATTACAGTTTTCCAGCTACGGACACTCAAACTTTAGTAGTTATCAAACTTTGGCGGCTGCTTACTCGCTAATTCTAAATCTGACATCAACAAACCCCCGCCTCATTTAATATCATATATCTCAATTTCTAGACCAGATTGATGGATATTTCATTTTCAGCAAAGGCAAGGCAAATGAACAGTCTGTGAGATGATAACAATATCTCTGTAGGACCAAAAACTGGTGAGCCCATGACGCCATCCTGCCGTGACCCATATTGATAAAAAATACATTTTTTTCTTATTTTTCTTTCTTTTGTTTGCCTTTTGGTGCATTATTAGGTTCAACATAAAAGTTGGTCAAATCAGAAAGAAACGACTAGAATGAACAACAGAGTAGATATTGTGTGTTTCAAAGTCCTACATATCCACGCTACGGCCTTCGCGCCATGAAAAGGAAAACCGCGCCGGAATACTCGATCCTGGTGAGCTGTTAATTAAGCAAGGCACACTGACCTACATTTTTTATGCTGTCGTGCATTTTCGTACAATGATCTCATCGTCACTGAAAGAGACAAGCGTCTTACTTTTAGAATAGATAGCGTTATTACAATAAAAAAGAGCAAAAAAAAGAAGGTACTGAGAAAAGTACACAATTGGTACAAAGAGAAGCCAGCTGTATATAAAAAGGTTGCAGTGTTCCCTGTATCTTCACCAACTCCCTCCAGAGATCAGGAACCATGGCTCGCTTCATCCTTCTGTGCATCGCTCTCACGTTTGCTGGTGAGATTTTTTGTTGAACTCTTGTACTTTTTACCGAGGTTCATTTAATATGTTTTGATTATTGTTTAAAATCTTTTTTTTAATATGAACTTCACATTGTCTTTTCCTGTTTGTGTGTTCCTCCTGGTAGATCTCAGAGGTAGTACCCTGCTAGTTCTTCAACATGCAGAGCAACTGATTTTTTCCGTCTTTTACCGCCCTTCCTTCTTCATAATGCCCTTTGTCTGTGATCTCAAAGAAGTATTTTAGCGTAACAAAATGACAAACAATGACACTCGATTCTTGTTTGAGTCAGATCTGGAGAAAAAGAGAAAGGCACTTTCTGACGTAAATACACATAAAAATTGTGAGGCAGCGTGGTGGAATCAGTCTCTCGTCAATTTTTGGGCATGTAGAGTTATTGGTATCATCTTAAAGCTTGTTCACTTGTCTTTATTTCATTTGGATGCAAAAAAATATCTATTTGTCTTGAATACAAGTCGAGATATTTGCAAAAGAAGGAGGTGGGGGTCACCTGTTTTCAGAGGTAATATTAGTGAGAAAATGGCGCCAAAGATTAGTTATTTCTTTAGCTTAAGAGTCCGTGGTAACTGAAGATTTACATTTTTTATGCCTTTAATCAACGCTTTTCAGAAAAATCCACACAGAAATGAGTTCTCTAATGGGCATGAAAGGTGTTGAGCCAAAAGACAAAAATTTAATAAAAATTCACAAACTGCGGAAAAATGCAAGTTTTTTCATTTTGATTATTTTGACGAGAGCCTGATTCCACCACGCTGCCTCACAACTGTCAACTACTATTAACCATTTGATGTCGTCACACATATCTTCTATGACGACAGAGTAACAGAACAGAAGTACTCATGTACCGTATTCCCAGATTCAAATCGCGCAGAGGATTTTGTCGCTCACCATTACAATATTTTCATACAGTGTAACTCGGATTCAGTGAAGTCGACACTGCCTGTCCTTCAATTTCTTTGAGTTCGAGTGTTCATTATAGCAAATGTGGCGGTTTTTTTAACAGATAGTTACAGGCACCGAGCAAGTAATGTGTAATGTATTTGACTGTCTCTGTCAAAAGTTGTTTGGTTTCTTTGATACCGAAGAAATGCTAGAAAATTCCAGGAAAATGCGTTGAACTCTACCAAGCACATATTGTGCAAAAAGGACGATTCGTTGAAAAGCACGCCTATGGCATCTGTTATCTAAAACTTATAACGTTCTGTTTGATGAACAAATTATTTTGCTGTGTAGAGCCTAGCATACGGCAACGTTTCATTTCGCAGTACAGTATTCTTTTCATTACGTAAATCTATGTGCCATTATGTCAGTTCTAACTGTAAAATAATGATTGTAATACGCCTATATCGTTGACATTCCCATTGCTTGCTATAATAATAATATACATAGTGATTGAGCGTTTATTGACTTCACTGTTGTCTTGAAAAGCGAAAGACAGCGGGCGTTCCACCAGAAAATTGTAACTAAAAGACTTACACATCATCAGCATTTGCGAACATTTTATAGATATGTATGCACTAAGTATCGAGTGCACCTGTTGTTGGAAACTAGATGGCTACAAACTTACTCAAGCCTTGGTTGGTGTTTGTCCTGTCCTCGGTTCCCAGTGCCGAACTCCTCTTAGTCATGAACTTACCTCTGTGTAGAGGTTTCTCAAACATCTCCAGAACGACTCTGGCTTGCACAAACAACTCTTCTATTAGTGTTTGAAAGTCCTTTAAACATTATCAAAAACAACTCATATTTTTCAACTTTAACTTATTCTCCTCCTCATCCCCCCCAGGCGCCTCCTCGGCAAGCCGCTACAACGAACTGTACAACTGGGTCAGCGGAAAAGCCTCCCCAGGATTCCCCCAACCCGACGACTCCGGACCCCTGGATGTGGACATGCGTCTGACCAAATTGGATGTCGTTGATGTGGACAGTGCCAACAACCTGGTCACTTTGATTGCCAGAAGAAGGGTTCTGTGGGCTGACCGTAATTTGGCCTTTGACGAGGCCACGTACAACGTATCCTGTGTGTATGCTGCGGCCACCAACATCTGGACTCCTGACAGTACTTTCTACAACTCTGCTAGCCAGGAGCATGTGTTGAACCGTGAGGTCATCGTCTTTGCCGGAGGTGAGTTGCTGGAAATTGAAAGAGTCCAGGTGTCCATCAACTGTGACCTGAGTGGTGTGAACACCTACACTGGCGCCACCTGCCACCTCCAACTTGGCTCCTACGGTTTGGGAAATGAGCTGTTCCATCTCAGGGAGCCCAAGGACAACTGGACCTTCCATCTGGAGTCGGCTTTCAACGGAGCCTCCCCCTACGAGCTTCTGTCTGGTGACGTCAGCAAATCTGTGGAGCCCTACGCTTCCGGTGACCCCGAGCAGTTCTATTACGATGCTCTGACCTTCACCTTCAGCTTCAGAAGAAAGTAGGATGGTCCAAAATCTGGTGTGAGTTGATCAACTCCTGTTTGTCTGATGATTGACTCTGAGCGTCTGTTTGTTTGAATGGTGGAATTTGTTGCAACAGAATCCCAGATGCAGAGAGTATGTGTGGAAGTAGGGACAGAACATGCATTTCTTGAACTCACCATGGTTAAGAACATTTTTCTGATGTCAACCATTTTGATTTGGATCCCTTGAAATAAACGATACTTGTTTTCATTTACATCATGCCTTTGTTCTTAATTCATCATTTTATTTCCAGAAAATGTTTTGCAGTCTCCTATTCTGCCTTTATCTGTCTGTTGTTTTTTTCCTTGTCTTTTTTACTTTTTTTCAATTTTGTTGTTGTTTTGTGTGTGTGTGTGTGTGTGGTAGCCTATCCGTTCGAAATGTTCGGAGCCCCGAAGAGTGTGCTCTTCGCCAGGGCCACCGCCTCCCTTGGGTAGCGGGTGAGGCAGTCCAACCTCCCTGAATCCTCCCCGAAGAGATGCCACCGCCGGGCCTCCGTGGCGGGGCATCTCTGCAGCCAGTGCTCCAAATCTTGGGGCTCCTCGCTGCACAATGGACATATTGGGTCCGATGTTTTGTCTATTCTATTTTTGTAGGCCCGAAGCCCAGAGAAATGACCGGTCCTGATTTTTGCCAGTAATGTTGTTGTTGTTGTTCTGCTGTAATTTTTGGGGTGGGTGGGCGGGTGGGCGGGTGGGGGGTGGAGTTGAAGGACAGGGGATGTGTTATTGTATTTCTAAATTCAAAGCCAAGGCGCTTCATGACCTATCTAGACAATGGGTCGAGGGGTGTGGGTGGGGGGAGGGTTCTAGACACTTCGATGCTGGTTTAAGGTCGGTTAAGCACCGTGCTTATGGTGACGTGGGACAGTTTCATTATGATGCCATGGCCCTTACCTTCAGCTGGGAGGTTTGAGCGGGGCGGTTGGTGAGTCTAGATGTCTGTGTTATGATTGGCGGGACAAATTCTGTTGACTCACCTGGAGGAGGTTTGGGGGGGGGGATTATTTCCAGTATTTCCTGACACTTATTACATAGTAATTTTATAACATGCGATGATTTCATTCGTCGCTTGTTCTTTTATCACAGACAACGTTCTCATAACGTATGGGGAAGGTTAACTGCTATGTCCAGCGCCTTACTCTAATCGTACGTACCATTTCGAAGGTATAACACTTTATTAATTGCAAGTAAATTTTAAATATTTTGCAGCCCAATCGACACAATTTAAGCTCTATGCGCTTCACATATTACCTTAGCAAACCTGAGAGCTTTCTAAAACAACCTCAATTTACTAGGAAGCTTGCAGTGCAAGCAGGCATTTATAGGCGTTAAATCACTAACATAGTGACAAGATCTTTCGCTGTCTATAGCCGGGTAACCATTCCCACATGGGTGAAGTGGGGAAATTTCGTGTAAAGTGCCTTTCCCAAAGACACAACGTCGGGCCCGCGGCTCGAACCCCCGACCCCGCAACCTCACGAGTACGAGTCCTGTAGCCTAACCACTAGACAAACGACGCCAAAGATGAAACTGAAGATATGTTTCCACCAACACCGACACAAGCTAAATCATTCAGGAGACGGGCAGGTTCCACTCTGTCTGTCACTTCATAGCCTACTGTGGCTGAGATGGATACAACATCCAGGCAGAAGCATGCATACTAGAGTTGTAAAGCTCATAGAGTATGCCATGGGTCTTGGATATCTCGCTTGCATAGCTACCTGGCCATGTGGGCATCAGAGGAAACGAGCAGGTCTATCTTCTGGCAAAGAAATCCATGTCCGATCTCTTGGGACCTGCTGACATACTTTATTTACTTACTTTACTTTATCCTTCCTCTTGCCCCTCTAGGGCGTCGAGGGGAGAAAGACGCTTTTGATCTCAGGTAAGCTGGATGATTTGGTTGGGTGGGGTGTTGTGGGTCTGTAGTGTATCCTTCTCACCCTCAATCCAGGTTTCCTCGGTCTTCCTCGTGCTTTGTACCCTGATATCCTTTTGTTGAACTCTTTACTATCAGTCTGGTGAGGCGTCAAACGTATCAGACGTTAAAACCACATGATTGTTTTGCCTTTTAGTTTTAGTAAGAGTTTTACGGCACTTGCAACACAATACGGTAATCTAAATGCCGAAGATTAGAGGTGTTACAAGAGAAAAACAAACTCAAAAAGAAGGAGGGGAGATCGGGACGATAGATGTTTGATAGGAAAGAAGGATCAAACCACACCAGAGCAACCCGCCAACCACCCACTGTTTTGTCTTTGAATGTAGTGGAGGACAGCTGTTGATCCTAGACACCGACTTCTAAAATACGGCCAAAAGCTACACCTCTCGTTTTTGAGAGCAACACTGGCGTGAATAAGTAAACAACAAACTCCACAATAGTATGACCAAACTGGACCTTCGAAAACCTTCGGGCCTCTCCAGAAGAAATGGTGAAATGGTATGGCTTTAACACCTCTATCAACACTATTAGGTTATTTAAGAGGCGGGACCTCAGAGGTTATCCACCATCTCCGAAAGGACCGAGCCAAGTTGGGAAATTCGTGTAAAGAGCCCTTCCCAAGGACACAACGTCGGACCGAGCTGAGGCTCGAACCCCCACCCCAGAAGAGACGCAGTTTAAAAAAAAATAAGAATATGTCTTTAACATAGCTCCTTGCGCATACATACTTCCTGCAGGGAGATGAGGAACCTTTTTGTGCCGGATTCGATACGGATTTTATCATCAGACACAATATTATTATGTTAATAGAATGTCTTGACTTTGGACAGGTACGAAAGAAACATTTGATTATTACCAGTAGTAGTGGTATTAGTTGTAGTGTCGTTAGTATTATTACATACCTCAAAGAAATTGCTCAAAATGTTTGAAAGTGCATTTTATTGGGTCAAAAGAATATATTTATTAAACAAATGAAGACAAAATCCAATATTCCCAAAAGCAGAATGGAGACGGATTTCATTGATGTTTAAACTTAAAAGTATGAATTAGTTGAATCATAACTTTTAATCGTTTTGTATCATTACAATACTACTATAGAATCTAACACGGGCATCCTATGTGACGTTTAAAAACTGTGCTGTGTATAGGTTCATAGGTGCTCGAGTAAAAGCAAACGGGAATCCCCAACACGCATCTTATCTACTCTTCTTTAGTTTAAATAAGGGTTTTACGGCGCCTGCAACACAAAAGGGTATATAATACTAATAATAATAATAATGAAAATCATTTCTATAGCGCCCACTCCCGTGTAAACACAGCTCTAGGCGCTTTACATAAATGCATGTAAGAAAAATATTCATGCACGCGACACACACACACACACACACACACACACACACACACACACACACACACACAAATACACACACTCACACACACAAACACTCACACATATACACATACACACACACAAACACACACATACACATTCACGAACACATAACACGCACACATGTGCACACACAATATATAAGTGCCGAAAGTTAAAGGTGTTAAAAGAGAGTAACAAACACAACACAGGAGGAAAGATAAGGACCATAGATGTTTGATAGGAAAGAAGGAGCAAACATCCACCCAAGACCTACCGACAACCACAAGTCAATTTACTATTCTCTTGATTAATTGTATTTTGATAATATTTTTTTCTTCTTCTAAAAACACTCTTTTTAAAAATTAAATTAACTCTACAGGACCAACGTGAATCTCCTGTTCCACTTTATAATAAATTATACCGTACTACAATTTGTGGTATTCTCGAGTATCCAGCCTTTTACTGTTTAAAATGGGATTTTATTTGTTTGTTGTTTTTGCTTTTTTGTTGTTTAGTTTTCTTGTTTTGTTGTTTGGTTGTTTGTTTGTTGTTGAGTTTTTTGGAAAATGGGGGGGGGGGGGGGGGGGTCGGGGGTTTGGAGGGGGGTGAGTGGCATTCCCAATTCTACGCTTTCGATAACACCTAGCCATTGATGGCTGATGCTTCTAAAGATAAATCCTGATTATTGGTCTGTCTGTCGACAAGCCTCGTGTTTTGAGCAGCAGCCATCTCTCAGCTGAGAACATGAAAATCTGACGATAACCCTCGGATCATGGTTTAAGCAAACTCCATAAGTGTGTGTGTGTGTGTCTATTTGTTATGTTATCACCATCCAGTGCCAGATCTGCGACAGACATCGACGATAATGATTCTCCATTCATTCCTTTTCTCGAATGCTCTAAAAAAAGCTACGTTTCCCTGATCTTTCCCTGTTACCTATTTGTTTAGTTTCCTAAGTATGTTGTTCTGGGCCTACCCTGCCTCGCTTGCCTTCAATTTTGCCAGTGAGAGCTAGATGTTCAAGACCCTTATGTCTATTCAGGTGTCCCAAAAACTGCATTTGTCGTTTCCTGATTGTTTTTAACATTGAGCGTTCCACGTGGGCTTCATCAAGCACTACCTCTTTTGATTTCTTTTCCTTAATATAACATAATATAATTTGATATAATATAGAGCCGAACCTGTGTAAGACGGCCACACATTGACGAGGAGAAAGTGGCCATGAAAGAGAGGGGTTATCATAGGCAGAACTTTTCCAAATAAAGAAAACAAACAATTTACTCGTGAGGTCCCAATTGGAGACGGTCACAGGGTTAGGACTGTTGTAGGGCTCATTAAAATATTAAGTTGTTGCTGTTGTTGCTGCTGCTGTTGTTGCTGTTGTTGCTGTTGCTGTTTCTGTTGTTGCTGTTGTATTTTTCCTTTTGAAAGGGTGAGGGGATGTTACGGTTTTTGTGGGACTGTTTGTTTTTAAGTTTTAAAAATTATTTTTTGAAAATGATTATGGTTTAGTGAAAGGTCGAAACAAAAGGAAAAGAAAAATGTGTCTGACGAGGAAGGCCAAGTGCCGTAGTAAAACAAACAATAGGTCGCCGCCACTCAGTGAACAAGCAACACTTCCGTCGCCAGTTTGTGGTGACATTTTCATGTTCTCGGCTCCGAGATGGCTGCTGCTCAAAACAGGAGGCTTGTCGACAGACAGACCATTAATCATGATTTATCTTTAGAAGCATCAACCATCAATGTCTAGGTGTTATCGAAAGCGTAGAATTTGGGAATGCCACTCACATTGGCCGGGTTTACGGACTGAGTTGTGGGCGGGGCTTGTAGGTTATTACGGATCCCATGCTTCCCTCACCAGCAGCTGAAAATTTTATTGATACTCATTGGTCAACTTGGGTAAATACAGACTTCAATATAAGTTAAGGACCACTTGCAAATTTGGCTAAAATTCCCCGAGGATTTCCGTGGTGTACTTTGTGGTTTTGCCCCGTTAGGAAGTATTGCAGTACGCATTGGTAACCCATTAACACTTTCAGAGCAAAAAAAGTTGAAATATTCCTTTCTGTCTTTTTTTTCGGATTAAAAAAAGTCAGGGCTGTCTGTCAAGGTGGTCATTAACTTATGTTGAAGTCTGTATTAGGAGCGACCTAAGCAACATGACCGTTTTATCTATTTTAGGGACTGACAATAACGAGGAAGACCTCTTGGAACCTGGAGAAGAATCACGGAAATGGATGTACAGAAAATTGGGAAGACGTGGAGTGACATCAATCGACTAGCCCAGGATAGGGAAAGGTGGAGAGTGTTTGTTCGTGGCCTATATCCTGACCCAGGGTGAGAAAGGCAGTGATGATGATGATGAATAACGACAAGTGAATGAATTACGATGGCTTGTCCCCAACGTCAGGAATGCAGGCCTATAATTTTTGACAAAGCCTGGCCGTCTCAGGCAGGCAAATTCATCTGTGGGTTAATAAAATAGGGTGGCCGTGACTGCGTTTTGCACAAGGCATACAATGTCAAATTACGACATTGGGGCAAAATCGGGTGCTTTGTGAAAATGACGAAATTGAAGAATTTGATAATTTCCCGACTGCTCGGTAACATTAAACCAATTTTAAAAATTTTGTCTCACCGCCATTATATGTTCTTCTAAAACCATTATCTGTGGGGAGTTTCCTGAAAAACGTAGATCAACTGGGCAAAAATGTAAATTTGCAGTTTGCAAGGACAATCACGCTTTGAGCGTCATCAAACTTTGGTAGCCTTTTTTTAGGTGATTTTTACATGTTTTAATCATCTAACCCCTTGCCCATTTATGGAAGATTGACGTCATCTGATTAGTAGAACAAAGTACGTATGATAGTGTCCAAAAGTGTATTACGTGCATACTTGGTTTGACATGTAACTGTTACAAATAGAGATTCAAATATTACATCTTTATGTAAGTTATTGATCTGAGAGCGATGATGATGTAAGAAATAATGCTGGTGATGAATGATGATGTGGGATTGGGTTTAAGTAATGTTAGCGTTAGTCCTATCTTCCTCTGCTCCAGTGAGTCACGAGGGACGTGGGCACTCTATATCCTGTTCCCTGCTTGAACCATATTTAATGTCACCGTGAAGTTCCGAAATGTCACTGATTATACCTATGACAACAGACGACCCCCACCTTCTTCCATCGAAAATGTCTCGACTTATACTTTTCCTCCAGATAAATGGATATTTTTTTTGGGCAAAGGCAGATCAAATAAACAAGCTTTGATAATAATTATAACAACTCTATGTGTTCCAAAATTATTAATTACGACCACATTCCAATATGTAGTGACATGACAATGACAATGACAGTCTTTATTCATCTCGCAGGGATATAATTGTTAATGTGTGTTGGTGACACGGTGTTTAGGTGAAGGGTTAGTTGGTCGCTTTTAAGTACAAGGGGGCTATCCCGAAAAATGCCGTTTTGAGAAAATCGAAGGTAAAGGTTTTGGACCCTTATTCAGGAGAGCTTTCTCTACAACCGAACAAATATACACACCAGTGAAACCAATCTTCTCCTAGAGGTAGGGCAGTGCCCGCTTTTGGTGTTAGTCAAGATTTCTGGAAACCCCCGAAATCTGGTTGCCCGCTTGTCCTTAAAAGCGACCAGTTGTGCGTGACCTTAAGCAACACTCGACACCCAAGCTTCAAACCAAGGCGCCGTACAGTGACAACTAACAATTGTAGTACATGGAATGCCTGTTGCTGACACTGTGTATCATTCATGCAGTTACGTATTCATGTATTTGTGTGTTTACGTACGCTACTGCCAATGCCCAAGAGGATGGATGTAATGGGATGGATTTGTGTCTATGTCTTTGTTTATTGAGTAGATATTGGGTCTGTTCCTAGGACGCAGTGACAGAAAGACTATCGTCAATTATTATTAGTCGTGGGTATAGTGCCGGTCGCAAGCAATAATATTAGGGCCTATATTATAGTGGTGTCTAAAAGAAACTTGGAAATGTAATCACCCAATGATCACCCAATGATCACCCAATGATCACCCAATGATCACCCAATGATCACCCAATGATCGTGTTATAGCCTTGTACTACCCACTCATTGAGCACATCAATTGAACGCTAATTAAACTTTACTTCATCTGACATAATGATATTTTATCTATGTAAGCAGACGCTCGATACATGGTCCCTCAAACCTGACCTGAACAAATTAGACTTGGATAAACTATGCGAAATCAGAGAAAGGTAAAAGTGTGTTCGCGTGTGTGTTGAGGTGCACCAACATTAGAGGAATGGACGTGTAGTGAATATCAAAGGAAAAAAAGAATGTTGTTGTCCCCTCAATAAAGAGCATCTTCTGATGATATTTTCAAACATGGGAAACAGAGCAGTTCCAAATACCACGCACAACTTGGACTTCATTGTTACACGTGTGGATTCGTTGTAATTTTGTTTTTGTTTAAGTAGAAGAGCTATTGATTTCGTGTACAGCACGAAACCTTTTTGGTATATTGGACTGAGTTAGTTAAATTTTGGTCCCAATCATCTGTCAGTGAAGAAATAGAGACCTCGAACTGCCATGATTTTGAGTGGTGTGGGGTGGAATGAACAAAAAAACCCTCCTCAGAATCACCAGATGGCTTGGTTTAGCTGACTACATCGCGCAAGTGATCGAATGTCATGTCTTACCCTTATTTTCGTCATGGCGTCATTCAAGTAGACACCTCCATGTATAGCAAAACACTTTCTCACAAGGCCATTGCCACTAGACAATTTTTTGAAAACCAAATCAAATTAACCTTGGTGTGGTCACCAATAAATAGCCACAATATGAATCTTACAGGTATGTGAAGTCCCATGAAACAGCAGCTGAAGAAAAGCGACTTTGCTCCCAATTCAGACAGTTTGTTTGCAACTCTCTGAGACATTTGAGATGAAATGACAAATAATTGGGTCCACAATTAAGAAGAGTCGATGCTCAAAGTTAACAATGGGCACATGTAATGTGACGTCCAAGTTTTGTGTGGTATTTGTGATTTCTCTGTTTTCGTTTTGTTTGAAACTATCGTGACAAATCATCGAAAAAAAAGTTGTGCTTATTGCAGCGACAAAATTCTCCTTTCAATTGATATGAAATGTGTGTCCAGTTCTAGTAATATTGATGCTCCTTAATACAGAGGCCAAGACAATTTTACATTTCTTTGATTTCGCATAATTTGATTTTTTAAAGGTCAATTTTGAGTGACCATATCTCGGGCGTTTCTTAACATAGATGAATGATTAACGTGTCAGATGATGCACAATCTATTCAGCTTTAAACTGGTATGCTGCATGAGTAGGTAAAATGAGAGGCTTTAACACGATGATTGGGTGATTACATTTTCAAGTTTGTTTTAGACGCCACTGTATAAAATACTTATGACGATCTTAGCCCTAAGCTCTAGTTTTTCGCGCTGAATGCTCAAAGGCGTCTAGTGCAGGTGTCATGATATAATTGAATCAACCACTTGACAATTTCTGGTAATAGTATAAGTATAAAGTTTATATATAGCCCACAATCTTGGATAGAAGTCGAGCTATTTGTGACTGAAGGAGATGGGGGAGGGGGGGGGGGTCGCCAGTTTTCAGAGGTAGAATTGGAGATAATTTTAATAAACGGTCATCAAAGTTTGAGGACCCTCAAATCTTGAGAGTACTTGTAAACTGAGAGGGATGAAAGGGAAGGGAGGGGAGGGGGAGTGTGAATTTGATTTTTTAAAATCGCTAAACAGTCCGATACATGCCTGTTTCCTTCCGATTTCATCAGTATGACGAGCACATGGTTTCACCACACTGACACACATTTTGAGTGCTCCACATTCTCCCGATGACCTTCACCTCCACAAATGCCACAATGTTACGTCATCAAACCATCCCTAAAGTGTGGCGCTCTGCTCTACTTTTTATGCATGTCACGGAGTTCATTAACACTCACACTATTTCTTTTAGAATATACCACGTGATGACCAAAAAAAAAAAAAAAGAATGCAATGGAAGTGCTCTTTAAAACAGACAGTTGGTACAAAGAGAAAACAGCTGTATATAAAAAGGTTGCAGCGTTCCCTGTATCTTCACCAACTCCCTCCAGAGACTAGGAACCATGGCTCGCTTCATTCTTCTGTGCATCGCTCTCACGTTTGCTGGTGAGACATTTTGTTGAATTCTTGTACTTTTTTAAAATTGACGTTCATTCCGTGTTATTGGTTTTTTTGGGTGTTTTTATTTGCTTGTTTGTTTGTTTTTGTTTATAGTAGGGGGGAGGGGGGTTATTTCATGATTACCTTTTTTATCATTATATTTTTGTCGATAGAACTTTGTAATTCTGAGTTCGCGAACAGTTACACCACGATCGCTGTACAGAATAGAACATTCACAATCGCTGTACAGAATAGAACATTCACAATCGCTGTACAGAATAGAACATTCACAATCGCTGTACAGAATAGACCATTCCAAAGATTGCACAATCTAATGTGCACCCCCCCCCCCCAAC